CGCTATTCCTCCTGTCATATTGCTGAATCACGCCTAACTCTGCCCGGACCGTGTTGGCACGGCTCACAGGTGCAATTCAAGCCATCCTGCATCCCAATCGGACTGTAGTGGGTGCAGAGAAACGCCCATACGCGGGAGCTCAGTGGCGCAGGGCCGGTGACGCAGACAGGCATTCATGCTCCACCAGACCAAACTCTATCTTTCCGTGCTTTTTGCCCTACCAACGCTTGCGTGGTGCCGGCACGCCCCACAACTATCATTCAAGCCATCGGAAACCCCGATCGGACCAGTGGGTTCAGAGAACCGCCCACACACGAGGGCTCAGTGGCTCAAGGGCCGGTGGAGCAGATATGCATAACTGGTTTACCAGGCCAAACTCTATGTAAATGGTGTTGTTTGACGTACCAAGGCTTGCATTGTGTGAACACGGCTCACAGCAATCATTCGCCATCGGACACACCAATCGGACCAATGGGTACAGAGAAATGCCCACCCACGGGGGCTCACTGGCTCAAGGGCCTGGTGGAGCAGATAAGCTTAACTGCTCCACCAGACCAAACTCTATCTACCGGGCGTCTTTTGTCCATACGAGGACTTTTATTATGTGGGCACGGCTCACAGCTATCATACGAGCCATCGGGCACCCAAATCGGACGGGGTGGGCAGAGAAACGTCCACCCACGGGCGGCTCAGTGGGTCATTGGCCTGGTGGAGCAGATAATCTTGTTTGCTCCAGCAGGCAAAACTCTATCTACCGGGCGCTGGAAAGGGGCACCCCCTGAATACGGGTATGGTTTCTCAAACAGGCACCCCCCGGGCAAATGGGCACTCCCCCCACCACACCAGGCACCCCACCCCGACCAACGGGCACCCCCCGCATAACGTCCCCCCCTTGTTTGGGGCAATCCCCCTCAAGTAACGGCACTCCCTGTCAACAACGGGCACCCCACCTCCATTTTGGGCACTCCTCTCTGCTTTCAGACGCCTCTTGGCGCTGTGTTCCGACGGTGCAGTGCTCTAGGGAATGATAAAGTATGCACAATATTTTCCGGACAGATACACTGTATTCCCTGATCACATACACTGTATTTGTTGATCAGATAGGCTAAATATTGCATTCCCTGAGCAGATTCACTACTTCCCAAACCAGCTAGACCGCATTCCCTAGGTCTCTTCACTGTGTTCCCCAAAGAATACACTGTATTCCCTGGTCAGGATCACTGTATTCCCTCATCCGATATACCGTATTCCCTCGCTCGATTCACTGTGAACAGATTCACTGTATTCCCTCATCATATTCATCGTATTTCCTCGTTCACTTCACTGTACCCCCTCATCAAATACACTGTATTCCTTCGTCAGGATCACCGTAATCCCTCTTCAGATACACCGCATGCCTTGTACTTTTTACTGCATTCCCTTATCAGATTCACTTTATTCCCGATTCAGATACGATGTACTCCGTGGAATGCAGTGAATCGGGTGAAGGAATAATGTGTATCTGACGAGGGAATAAAGTGAATCTGATAAGGGAATATTGATATTGTATCTGACGAGGGAATACGTTATATCTGCTCTGAGAATGTAGCGTATCTGACCAGGGAATACAGTGTATCTGACGAGGAAACACATTGTATCACACGACGGAATACAACATAGTCTACCTGGTCAGGGAATGCAGTGAATATGACGAGGGAAACAGTATCTGATGAGGGAATACAGTAAATCTGCTCAGGAATCCTGTAGTCTGTAACGTATCTGACGAGGGAATACAGTACACTTGCTCAGGGAATACAGCGTGTGTGATGAGGAATACAGTGCATCTGACGAGGGAAACAGTGAATCTGACGAGGAAATGGCTCAAAGGCCACATATCTGCTCCACGGGCCTTTGAGCCATGAGTCTCCGTAGGTAGGCATCTCTCTGCGCCCACTGGTCCGATCAGGGTGCCCGATGGCTTGTAGACTATATATGACAGCTGTGAGCCTTGCCGACGCCATGAAAGTCTTAGTAGGCCAAACGATGTCATGCGGATGGAGTTTGGCCTGGTGGAGCAGTTAGGCTCCACACACCCTTGAACCGCTGAGCCCCCGTGCGTGGACGTTTTTCTGCACCTACTGGTCCTATTGGGGTGCCCGATGGCTTGTATGATAGCTGTGGGTCGTGCCAACACAATGAAAGTCTTAGTAGGCCAAACGATGTCATGCGGATGGAGTTTGCCCTGGTGGAGCAGTTAGGCTCCACACACCCTTGAACCGCTGAGCCCCCGTGCGTGGACGTTTTTCTGCACCAACTGGTCCCATTGGGGTGCACGATGGCTTGTATGATAGCTGTGGGTCGTGCCAACACCATGAAAGTCTTAACGATGTCATGCGGATGGAGTTTGGCCTGGTGGAGCGGTTAGGCTCCACAGGCCCTTGAACCGCTGAGCCCCCGGGCGTGGACGTTTTTCTGCACTTACTGGTCCCATTGGGGTGCCCGATGGCTTGAATGATAGGTGTGGGTCGTGCCAACACCATGAAAGTCTTCGTCAGACAAACAGCGTCCGGTAGGTGGAGTTTGGCCTGGTGGAGCAGTTAAGCTTGTCTTTTCCACCGGACCCTCCGTCCCTGAGCCCACGAAGGTGGGCATTTCTCTACACCCACTGGTCCGATTGGGGTGGATGATGGCTTGAATGATAGCTCTGAGCCGTGCCTACACGGCGCGGGCAGAGTTAGGCGTTCGGCAGCTTGTGACGGGAGGTACAGCGGGACAATTGACAACTACCCCCCCTAGGTGAACTCGGCACCCAGGTCACCGTTATTATTTTAACTCTGTTTTTTTTTTGGCGGTAACCATAATGAATAGTAGTCGAGTAGATCATGTTGTGCGGGGTGGAGAACCCTCACTCCGCGCAAGGGGGATAATCACACCATGTTGTGACAAAATGGTCAAACGCCCTCGAGGTAGTTACACAGTGCTTCTTCTAACTGTCTCTGGAAGTGAAAGCACAAGAAAATGAATTAAGTCATAGTCTACGCAGCTGTTATCCGTACGCAAGGAAGTAAGCATAAGATGCCCAACACCCTTTGCAGGATGCAGCGCACCCTTCATGCAACTCGCCGAACACCTCACGGCGCCCCGCGCTTGGTGATGTGAGAGTCTGGTACGGTGACGACCCGGCGTGCTCCGTCCCGGCTTTGTAGGGATGCGAGGTCCATGGTCTAACGACTACGGCATGCACGACTATGAGTACATCCCCCCCTAGGTGCTGCGGAATCCCCTCTTTTGACCATATCTCTGCGGGAACATATTCGATGGGACTGTTCGATAGCTTGGAGAAACGACGTGGACCGTGCAAACACGACGCGAAAGGATTGAGGCCAATGGGAGCGGTGTGGACGGCGGAGGTTCGAGACGATTGTTGCTTCCTGACATACATGCTGCGGAACCCCCTTTTTCAGCACATCTCTGCAGCCACCGGTGGGATCTAGCTTCTGAGCGGCATTGCAGCTGTAGTCCATATCTACACGATGGAAGTGATTTGAGGTCGATTGGATCTCTGTGGGAGGAGATCTGCCTGGTGGACAAAATAAGAGGTTACTCCACCGGTGGAGCAAATGGCATTGCCGATTTCTATAGTAAATAAGTAAGGGGGGTATTGTGCGTCTGCGTCCCTTTTGGCCATGTGCGTTCGCTCGTGCGCGCTCGCCGCGCCTGCACGCTGCACTATAATACGTAACACACCTACAGGCGGCGAGAAGTATAGAGGATGACCAGCGCACCGCAAGGGAGAGGCGTAGGCCAAGCCCAGGATGTTGCGGTGCGAAACTATGGCCAATATATATTATTTTGGCCAATATATTCTCGATGAACAGCAGAAGCGGGCTCGGAGTCCAGCGAAGAGGGGGTGAGGGCAGGAGAAAGACGGCTGGGGGCTACGGGCACTAGGGAGGAGAAGATGATGGGGAAGGGGACAAAAAGCAAGTGGAGGAGAAGGAGAAGGGAGAAGAGCCGGACGAAAGCTCGAGGGGGCGTAAACGCACCGCAATCGACGTGTTTCGGGTTTGATAGCGCAGTTCGGGTGGAAGAATGTCGAGAAATGGCAGGCGGAACGGTGGGCGATCGGAACACTCTCATCACAAATGTGAGCTCCGACGTGAGACACATGTTTCGCAATTTCCGTCGGGCATTGTTTTTTTCCGTTCGCGTGAGGTGTGATGGTACTTACTCAGGGCTTTTCCTTTTGCTGCAAATTGTTTTGAGGATGTGGGTGTGGATGATTGTCTCGTGGTGTTCCGACAACAAAAAATTCCTGGCGCAAGGATTTAGACTATAGCGTATTTTTATTGCCTCACACGACAGGCGAAACAGGTTTGACGCGCACGATCGGATTCATACGATGATAAAGAATATGACGAGATCATGGCGAAAAAGCTGTATTGTTTTCCTCATTTGGGTCCGCCGTACCCACAGTAGGTGTTTGGGATTTACGTTTTCGTGCGCTCTTGGCTTCGGATGCAAAAAAAATGTTTCGAGGTACAGGACATCAGTAGTATGAGGGCATCTTACAGTACGACGTCACTCTGTCGAGGGCACGTTTCGTTAGACCCCCGTGGTTGTTTGACTCCTGCGGAGGTGGTCGATCACGCCACGTATTCTCGCATCACTGAGATTTTCGATTGTTGTTCTGATGTGGTGAGTCGGGAACGCTTTCAGTCACAGGCTTGCCGAAATATATTTGAGGCTTGCGTTCCTCCAGAAGACCGAGTTCATATGCTGCTTGTGGGGTAGCCGTTGTATCGAGACCACTTTGGTACAAACGCTGCGCACTACACTACTTCGGAGTTCATACGTACTTCGCACAGACGAGGTACTGGTAGAGTTCCCTTCGCCGTTCTTGGAGAGAGGGTAATACCCGAGGAGGCATGTTGGCAAGGTAGGTGCAGAATGGTTGAAACTTGGAACCGCAAGACATGCAAGGACGAACATGATCTTCTTGCTACAAAATCGAAACAACCACGATCGCGCGTTGCGTGGGAGTGATAATAATGCTAAACACGCACAATTGTGTGTCCCTGATGAAACTAGATGTGTGTGTGGGTTCAACATCAAATTCAGATCCTACCTCTAGGTCTCGACGACAAGAGAAGTATACCGACAACACCAGCGAGGCGCGTGACAGCGCCATCTGCGGCTCACATGCATGACCGACAACACCAAATACTTCGTGCTATGGCACTAGGCAACCGCGACCCTCCAAAAGAAGCACAACAACGCCACACACCGCCAGCACCTCCAACAATGTATCGCGGATCGTGGGGTAGGCACATCTCTTCCTGCTACCGTTCCGTCACAAACCTCTCCCCGCTGTCTTCAGAAACGAAACAATGTCCCTGGCGTGAACGTGTTTCCAACGCATTGTGCGCAGTGACAACATGCTGCTCGACCCGCGGCAAAAGCCGGCGCGAGGTAACAAAATGCCTGCACTTAGCCACCCTACGCGTTCGAGTTCCCGCCAAGCTCCATCCGCATTAGTTGAACTTTCGTCAACAACATTGCCCCCAATTTCATTATCATCCTACACCCTCAAACATGGTTACTACTTTCGAGAATCCGTTTCCACCACAAGCAACATATTCACACCCCGGTGAAGGGGTTGATTGATCATTAGTGGCGTGGAGCAGCGGCTGCTGGGTTGTCAACAGGGTTTGTAGCACCCGTAGCATTTTGGGCTCTGGCAACATGCAGCTGGACTGCATCTATGACATGCATGAAGTCGGACAGCTCCACCGTAGTGCCCGCGTCTAGGGCGTTCAATTCTTTCGGGAATAACACATTGAGAATATGGTAGAGGGCGAATGACGTGGCGCCCGACTGTGTGTACTCACCGGCAGGGCGGGGGTGGGGTGGGGTGCAACGTGGGTGCGTGCGAGAGAAAACGCGCGCGCGTACTTAGTTTTCGTAGGTTCGTGTGCTAAGTTTGCCGTAGGTTCATGTCGTCGAGCCTGTCGTTTTGGATATCCGCTACTCAATCGTGGGGTCGCGTGGGCATCGCACCCCATATCTGCACAACACTTATCTCACCCACGCCAGAACCACGACCGAGAACGCCAAGTTTGCAGCAACTTGATCCCCGCGTCCGCAGTCTCCGCGCGACTCGTCAATCCCGTACACACGCATGAGCGTGTCGTGACGTCCCGGGGAATACATCAACGCGGCAAAGAAGAGTCCCCAAATGCCGCAGTAGAGGTGGACCGGCACCGCGTTCATAGCGTCGTCCAGCCCGTGATGAAGTTGCAAGCGGTATCCGTAGTGATAGATGAATGCACTCACCACAGCACAAACTATTGTGAGCCGAGGGTCTGTTGTGGCACAACCTGGCGCAAGGTGACGTGTGGAAGGGGGTATGTCAATATGGCGAACGGCATGAAAGTTGATGTACCTGGGGTAGCAATGTCTAGACAAGGAACCTACTTGCAAGCGGGCCGTTTGCCAAGGTATTACCGAGGCAAATACGATGACAGTTGATTTCCGCGGGGTACAGGCGCAGGGAACAGAATATCCCACAGTGCCAGCTGATCCACTCTGGGAAAGGTCAATCACACACACCATGCGGACGTGAGACCAGCGAGCGACATTCCGAAGCAAACAATACCGTCGTCAGGTTACGCGGTGGTAACCTATTTTCTCACCGGCTGTAATGCCGACAAGGCCGCTCAGAATGCCGTTGACGGCGGCGGAGTGGAGATCTTGCTGTTCGCGGTCAGCACCTTGGCGTACCACCGCATTGCTGCTCCACATCACAAACTGTTCTCGGACGTGGAACCAGTTTTTGAAGTACGCCCACTCGATAGCGACGGATGTCAAGCAACAAACGACTGCGTCGCGCATCCAATCGAAAGCCACATCAGTTGAGGGAGGGATTGCGACGACTATTCGTTCAATGTGGTGCTCGGTTCCGTTCGGTACAAAGAAAGAACAAGCGGGAACACCGTCCCCCTCCTCGCCCGTCTCGCCTCTACGTATTCAGGATGCGAAGGCGAACAAAACTGCACTGCCACGTTTCACCACGAAAGGAGGTACTTGCCTGGCGATATGGACGTGTTCACCGCAACTATGCTCACAATCTCGCGGGTGTCGGACGAAGTAATGGAGAGAGCCGAGCCGCAATTGAAGCCAAACCTACCGGCGCGGTGACGGTCTGATTTAGCGGTCGTGTGTTGTGTCAAGAGTACGCGTGGGACGTTGAACATACAGAGCACGACTGGCGTGGGAGAGCTTGATTTCGCATACGTATGCAGGGCAATGTGTCGGAGCGGACGACAGACCATCTCCCTTGTTTGGGGCAGCGACAGCACTGGAAACTCGCCTGAACACACCACATAGCACGTGGTGCGTACGCAGAACAACGACAAGGCGTTCTGCGTTTCGACTCGAAACGCACGGCCACACACAGGGATAGGGGAATATCGGGTTCATATCACATTGATTTCTGCTTACCACCCCAGCCACAAGAGAAACATGCCAAGGGCCTGCTGCGTCCGATCCTGGAGAGCAAAGCCATAGCCGAAGTTGACAGAGTTCACCCTACCAGTGGCCTTTCCAACGAAGCGCCCTGCTCTGTCTGGTAGAAGATACGCCCACATTAACGTGGCCGTTCCGGCAAAACAATGCACGACACCGGACCCCGCAAAGTCCAGCACGCCTGGCGTTAATAGGTACGTTTGGGGGAAAATTAATGACTTGTACATGCCCGGGGAGTGTAGGCGACAAGCAACACATAGCACACGCCGACAAACACGAAATACTGCCGCCATGCATTTTACCACTGGCCACTCACGACTTGCTTATACACGCGCGTTGGAAGAAATCAAGACAGCACGACCACGCCAGCAGACGGTGTCGAAGAGACGGAAAAAAAAATCTTGCACCTATGTCCGCGGGGACACGGTGAACGGCGCGAATAGTAAGCCCCGGCAATCGGGGCTACTGCTGTAGCTCGCTTGTGGAACCGTAAGTAAGTGTGCGCACAACACGACTTTGTCGGAAGGCTTAAAGAGTCTGTGCCTTCCAATTCCACACGAATTTTTACGCCGGTATGCTCAACCAAGGAGGTTTTGTACGTGAAGGTTCGCAGTCTACGCAACAAGACGTCGGGGGGCAACACCGCAGCAACGAGAAAACGGGAGAATCACCGCAGTTGCCGATTCCACCGACGGCCTGCGACATCCAGCCGTCGTCCGACCACGCCCAGTGCGCCAACACAGGGTAAGTGAAGGCACATGTCCAGACGGCGTCTACCAGACCAACAGTCGAAGGAGGCGGCAGGCGGCAGTGGCAGACATACATACGTAACGATGAACGCATTGACCGGCAATTCCAAACAAGGCTAACGAAAGCGGCATTGTGTTAAACGAACCAAAGCCAGCGCCCCTCCCCCGGGACATGCACGTCAACCTGGGGACTGGCGCGCACGAACAAGACCAAAAGAGAAGACTTCAGCAGGGGCACCCCAGAAAACCGACGAGATTATAATAGTGTTGACGTCAGGGGTGCCTATCATCACTTTCTTGTTGCTATCGGGGAGGATATCATCGTGCTTGCGCGGTCGCGTTTTAGATGCGTGGGTCAATCCTTTCGCGTCTCCAACGTCACAGATTGCGTGCCAATGGCTGAACGTAAAAAAATCACAAGGACGGATGGAATATCGAACGAAAGTGTTCAGAAGATCCGTGCGCGCAACTCACACGATCAGGCTGTCGGGGAACCTTGATTTCTACGTGCATCTTTTACATTTCGGAATACGATGTGCTCTGAGTGCTCACATATGCCATAGAGAAGGTAGGGCACCCGGTCGGCCACCGATCCTGTGCATCATGAGGAGAAACGGCGAACGCAATACATTCGAGGCGCTCAAACCAAAAGCTGGTGTCACGCGTAGCGTATCATTCGGCATAATCCGACGGCGGACGAATGAAACTGATCACAATCGCTGTGCTTGCAGGGGCGATGCAAGGGTCTGTTAGCTTCATTACAACGAACCGTCTTTCCAATCGAGAGTAGAACGCGTTGCCCGCCCTTTGTTACATTTCGGCGGACGGCGTTGCTACTGGGGGAACCACACGAATCCAATATGGGTATACATCACAACGCTGCACTCCTTTCCTTGGGCGAACAAATTCCATCTTCCTTCAAACGGGTTATACAGTCTACGCGAGAGCAGCAAGCTGCCTGCTGGGTGGACGTTGACCACCAAGCACGCGCGCCCAAAGTGGAATCATCTTCACGATATGTAAATGTACTGCAGGCGGTTGCGAGGCAATGATGGTCCAGCCAGTAATATCCCGCCAAGTAGTCTACAGCGTACATACTGGTATGCGCCTGCCCATCTCTGCACGTACGCCTCGTGCTCATCGACTTGCCGCCGATGACTTACCTCGCAGACCTGGCGCTCGATCGCACGTGCACATGATTAGCAGGTGCTGCCGTTTTTTGCGGTTATACTACAGTACAGTGAGATATCTCGCTCGCTACTACTCACCCGACATGACGGTGACGGCTGTGCCAGCAAAGGCCGCCGAGAAGAGGAATCGCACATAGGCAAGGGAGCTGTCGTCTCCGATGTACTCGTCGCCTGCAATTAGAGCAGACAACCGGAATTCACTCGTTCACCGCGACTTTATGAAAATTTGGAGGTGCCCGTGTGATGGTTGTGTTGTTTGTTGTTGTTGTTTCTCACATTTTAGCTCTAAAAAAAAAAGATTGGGAGCCCGTGGTCTCAAAACCCGGCATACACGACCCCACGAAGAAACAGAAAAAAATAGGGTACAAAAACCACTCGGAAGAGAAACAAAATGATAGAAAGAAAGACCAGCTACCGCACCAAACGAGAAAGAGCGTCGAGGAGACCGATCAAAATAAAATAAAAGGAGAGGGGAACGCTTCCCACACCCGCCTGGTGTGATACCATGGTTACAAGTGCCTTTTATTTGGCGTTTGTTTCAGACGCCGTTTTATGACGTCATAATAAGTGTGGGTTGTATTTCGAATCTCCTCCGCTTCCGTTTCTGCGGGGAATTTTCTAGCTCCCTTTTCCCTATGTGTGATTGAGCTCACCTGGTAAATGTTGGACTCGGGGTACATGCAACACGAGAAGAAAGGAAAGGACAGCAACAAGAACCTGTAGATAGAGAAGAAATCTCGTGTTTTTTCTGTAAACAATGCGGAAGGACTTTCCCTGGAGTGTTCACCGCTTGTGCTTGAGAAACAAAGATAATTAGTCAGATAGCGATGCTATTCTTCCCAAGGTACCTGTGTGTCTGTCGGCCTGTCTGCTATCAACCCCCACTCCGGTCTACGCTTGTCGGTCAAGGATTGTGCTTCGCAGTGCGGGAGACCAACGGGAAAAAAATAATATTCCGAAACAAGATGCGAATTTGGCATGTTGGAACCACGCTGGAGAAACAGAGTTACGTATGTATTTCCTCTGTTGCCCCCGTATCCCCATATAGTCTATGCTTCGAGAGGGCACTGAAACAATAGAACACTTTTTTTAGGCAAGTGTTGACTTGGTATTGACGGAACAAACAAATGAAAATTATTTCATCCGTCGATTTACAGGTGACGGGGCCGCTCAATGCGGTCGCCGCTACGCCCGGACCTGCCCCGAATGGGAGTTACGTAGGCGGGTATTGTGAGCCGCCTGGATGAGCACGAATGAAGGATGAACAGCAGTGAGGAGACCGCATCCGACACAATACAAAGTTTTTCGTGCTTCGCGCCACCTCCCAAATTGCGCGATTCCAAGGCGGCAACGGTCAACACAGAGTGCAGCCCAGACTGTCAATGACATGCATAGATAGAATCGAGAGACAGAATACGCCGTAATCTGTTGAAGATGGCCAGAAAAAGGAACAACAGCAGTATTGTGAGACAACCAGTTCAGATGTATTCTCTTCCTGTTGTTATTTAGACTTTTTCGAAAGCGAATAATTGTGGTATAGACTAATCTACGTAAACGCTACAGCCTAGATAATTATCTTGTTTCAAGTTCAAAATGTGTTGAAACGTGTTCAACAATGTATTTATCTCTTGCGCCCCCGCGAGAGAACGAACACTGAGAGGTGGTCAAGTCTTGAGCCCATTTCTCCTACCCAATATTCAGCAGTTCATGCTGATGCAGTCATTTCCGAGAGCGCTGTCAGCGCCGAGGGAGCGTGCAGCTTAGTACGAGGAGGTCCACGTGTTCCACTTTTGAATGTAGTCTAGTCTGTGCTGCATACGGATGTCTGGATTAAATCCCAGTACCTGCCAAAAAGGGGCCGGCGTCGGCCCACCCGATGAACCGATTTCCGTTGCCCGCGAACATGCTCCCCACCGCAAACCAGCTGGCGTAAGCGATAGAGGCGTCAACGATATTCTTGATTAATATCACTTCCACGGGCGTTCGCCGAATCGTGCCCACCTGCCGCGAGAAAAGAAAACGAGAGATTTTGCAAAGTAGACTGTAGTCTAGATTGGTTGCAAAAATATTTCCACCAAGAGGGGAACGGCTGGGAGGATTGCATGTACAGTAGTCTAAATCTTTGTCTACATCTCATGCTCGAACAATCCCCGCTAGTTAACAACAAGAGCGAATGCCCACGTGTACGTGCGCATTACATACCTCATACAGGGCAAAGCCGGCTTGCATCATGAGGACGAGGATGGTGCACACGAGTATGAAGAAGATGTCGATGCTTTCGGCCAGATCCTCGACAGATGGCATCTCACCGGCATCGGCGGAGGAGGCGTCTCCCATTGTTCTTCCCGCAAAAGTAACTTCACGCGTGTGTGCGCGTCGTATCTCTGCCTTGCGTTTTCCGTTTGTTTGGCTCTGTGGCCACACGGTCGTCACCCACACGACTCCGGGACCGATGTGTAGCTGCTGTGCGGAAATGTTACCAAGAAATGCGTCATAGAGCTGGTGGCAAATGTTTTCACATTGTAGATTCTCGTTTATTGTTTTTCTTTCGAATTGCCTTTTTGCATTAATGTTTTCTC